TGAAGTAAATTTTTTTTTTTTTTAATTTTTATCAGAAGAAAACTAAACTATCTTCTTCCTGTCCTCCCTTCTTGGGGTTCAGTAGATGGATCTGTAATTTGGTAAGAGTTCCAGTCTTTTCTGAAAGACTTTGGCATAGTATTTTTAGTTTAAGATAGAAGTATGGGACTGAAAAGTTCTTGGAAGTAGCTGTAGCTGTCAATTTTACTGTGGACCATATAACTAACGTTGTTTACTGCTTCCAGTGACACCAATTTTTTCAGGGAGAGCAGGTTTATTTACAGTGCCTAACATAGTGTAAATTTTAGAAAAGTATATATTTTTATAATGATATTTTACTACATGTAGTCTGCCTGAAGGATTTAATACTTGTATTTCCAAAGTATATGACCTTCTTAGGAAGCCAAACTTTTAAATATCTCTCTAATGTAATTTTTTCTATTATGCATGTATTAACAAACATTTCACTGGCAAAAGCTGATCAACAGCAAGATTGTTGTATTTTATGACTGTCTGTATTGGTTGTCCAGACATCCTTCTAGCTTTTAATCTGTGAAGCACTTCACAGACAATGCTGTACTTCTCATGTGTACTTCAGTTCAGCTTTCAGAGTTTTTTTTCTGGCCAGTGATAGAGACACAACAGGAAAAGGAAGCTTGTCTAAGGATGGCTGATTTCCTTACAGTAGCAGAGAACAGTCTGCTATTACTCATCTGAAAAATCTGAAAGTAAAATCGCTATAAGTGCACTGTGACCTTTTTTTAGCTTGGTTATACAACAAAGAAACAATAGTAGTAGGTCACTGAGGGGAAAGCAAGAGGCATTTCTTCTGTAGAGCCTTGAATTTGAGATCTGTATTACTTATTTGTTGAATCTAATCCATTAGGAGCAGCCAAAAATTTGCTGCTGTTGCTGCTACTTTGCAAGCAGCAAAGCAGTATCCAGCAACCTTTGCTTTAAACTGTGGTGCTTGAAACTTTACAACACATCATCAACCAACTTTCTCTGTTAAGGTTATGTGTAATAATCTGATATATGTAAAATCGGAGAAGGATGTTTTTCTATTTGTAACTTTTTATTTGTAAAACATTGCATTGAAAATTTGCATCTAGGGAGTATGTTTCCCTTTGTCACTTTTTGATACAGAAAGCTCCTAATGCTGGGAAGTAATTTCAGCAGTTGGTGAAAATCATCACAGTGTCAAAGATCTGTGGAGTTCACGCACTGAAATTAGGTGCCGACAAGAGTCAGTGTCATGGATCAGGATTCCAGTGTTGGCAAATCTTGCCAAGTTGCCTGAAGACAAATGAATACTTGGTTTCTTTTTGAAGTACTGTTTGTATGCAAAACAGAATTTAATTGAAGTGTTGTCTTTTCACATTTTCTTCTTACTGGCTTTGGCCATATTAACACCAGCTTTGTATCAATGCTTCAGTTATTTGGAACTGAATTCAAGAGAGCAACTTCCACCTATTTGAGGATCTTTGCATTCAGAGTGATTTGTTTTCACTGTGGATAAACTGTGCTTATTCAGTATCACTTTTAAAACCCTGGGGTTCTAGACTGGTTTACCCCTAGACATTTTGAAGTGCACCCCCATTGGTGGTACACATGGCTAGTGTAATTTCAGACTTGGAATGGGAATACTTTCTTACCACTTCCTACTTAGTTATATTTAGCACCTTCTCCGCGGACCTGCAGTGACTTCATGGCTAAAGATTTAGGTTGTGGTTTAAAAAAGTCTTGTCAGCAAAAGCAGTTGGGTGTGAGCCTGCCTCTAAAGCCTTGAAGGAGAAGCAATTCAATGATCTCACAAAGAGGTTTGATAAATTGTTGATGTGAGATTTCAGTGGTTGCATTTGGAACAACTCCACAAACACTACAATGGAAACAAGGTTTTTAATGAAGATATCAAATATGAGATCAGACTTGAATAACGAGACTGAGAGAAGGAAACTTTTCAGTGTGATCACTTTTCTTTCTCGGAAATGAGCACAATTTATTTCTGTGAAGCAATGTATTTATTTGTATGTTTGACAGTACAACTGCCCTTTTGTTTCTATTAATATACCTGCATTTGGACACAGTTTCCCTGTATGTGAAGAGGAGGATGAATATAAGCACTGAAAAAAGTACAGTGACCAAAGGAGCTTCAGTCGCCTCCTGAAAAACTGAACATTTCTTCCCAAGGGGTCTTTAGTTTTGGTGACCCTCATACAGTGCCACGTGGGTAGACTTGTACCTCCAGTCCATTGCGGTTGATGTGGCAATTGGCTTATACATAGAATTGCTGTGGTTTTGGTCTCCCCATTCCATCCTTTCCTCTTCCTTCCCCCTGCTGCCTCTGGGTTATCATGCAGCTTGAACACTTTTTAGCCAGTGGAAGGGGAGGTTCTGTCTCTTCTTCTGAGTGACTTTCAGTATAGTTTTTTTTTTCTCAAGCCTTAAATTTGATTAAATAAAATTTTAATGTTTTGTACTCCTGGAGTTTGATTTCTAAGATTTGTTGCTTCCTGTCTCTATTATTTCCCTCTCTAAGGTTTAGACTGGCTGCTGAGGCTGCAGTTTGTGGATAACTACAGAAATGGTAAAGGTCCACTGGTGTTCACGTGTATATTTTGCTGAAACTAATTCTTGATATTTTTTTTTTTCAGTCTGGGCTGCTGAATAATAGGTAACACTGGTGCTTCTCTCTCCATTGTTAATGGAGAGCCATGAACAAGTGAAGAGCTGCAGAATGGTGTAGAGAAATGATTAAATCTCTGGACACCCAAAAAGTTAAAACTGCTCTTTGTACTTTGACTGCCCCTATCCACAGTTACTGCTCTTGTGATTTGCATGGTCTATGGTTTGTCGTGTCTCAGCAATGTTCTTGAAACTACTCTTAAGAGTGAGAAGGGAAGTAACTTCCAGGTTTGAAGGTGAGGCTTGCAGAAATAGGTTTGTGGCTGCTTCTTTGACCATTTTAAGATTTCTTTAATGCATGATTATAGTTTTAATAAGATCAGAGAGATGTTTAACCAATAGATAATGGCTATATCAGCATAATGCAATGTCTGGAATTGGATACTCTAGAATGTTAAGGCTGGATCATTTCTGATAAGAATGACTGAACTTGAATGTGGGTATTTGGGGGGGTGTGTGTGTGTATATATATATCCCATGTAATAGATCCAGATATATCTCTAATAATGCCTGGTTTAAGCACAACTCCAGATCTTATTCTGAAGTTGAGATTGTCTGAAGCTATTTCTCATTTTGACATTGGAAATGTGTGGGATGCCCATAGCACTGTGTGCTTTAAGCTAGAGGAAACTGCACATGATTCAGCTCTTGTTTTTCTTTTCTGCTACTATGTGGTCAAAACCTGCTTGTATGTTACTCACCAGGTGACTTGTCTGGGGTGGTTTTATGAAATTCCCTTTCTCAAGAGTACTCCTGAAAGTGATATTTGTGGCAAAGGTAGTGCGCTAAATAGAGCTAACAAGTTTTGCAAGTGGGAAAGCTTTTGCAGGAACAAAGTTGTAATGTTTGTTTGCAGACATAAGCCAGCTATGCTCAAATTGTTTGAGAACAGGAGGCCTTGACTTTTAAATATTCCCTGCTTTATAACAATTTTTTAAAGGTCAGTACTTTTCTGGTTTGGTTTGGGTTTTGTTTGTTTGTTTTCCCCAATAACTTTTACTGTGGGCTAAAAAGTCGTCATTCCCTAGCTCTTCAGTATCTACTACTACAAGGCTTTGAATTTGATCTCCTAGGTTTTGGCAATGTGGCCCTGCAACGTACTTGCAACTGCTTCAAAAAGTTCCCATAAGAACAAGTTGTGCAATAGATCCTGTTCTTACCTTTTTGTCAAGTGGCCATTTTTAAATATGAAAGATTTCTGTCAATGTTCAGACACATTTGTTTTACTACAATTTTTCATTCTCATAGAATTGTTATGGTTGGAAAAGACCCTTAGGATCATTGAGTCCAACCATTGACCTATCACTGCCAAGTCCA